TTACAATCCAATGACATTTGTGTAAATATATCTGACATTGTATATTACACCGAAATATTCGGGAAGGAGGTGGGGGTACTCACTTTTAAACTACGATATCTCTTGATAGAGCTGGAATTAGGGCGTAACAGCTTTTGTAAACAATGACTTCTCTCGATGATTTCTAGAAATTCAAGGCACACCCACACAAATCAACATAACCATCGGGTTGGGGAAGACTTCCCCTACATGATGGTTATGTTGATTTGCGTGGGCGAGATTCGACTTTCTAGAAATCATCGATATAAGTCATTGTTTACAAAAGCTGTTACGCCCAAATTCCAGCTCTATCTAGATCTGACTACGCCTATTTGGGCTTATAGTCTACATACTGGCCCAACACTGAGTTGTCAGACGACAGCTCAAACAGAAAAAAAAAGAAAAAGAGAACTAAGACTATTAATTGGAGAAAATGTTTTTGAAAACATCTGAACGTACCAACTTGACCAAATCAGAAAAACCCAAGTTATTTCAGTTTGAAGATTTACTTTCATTTCTATGAGTGAGGAAGGCAGGGTTAACAAGCCCCTCCTCCTATCTAACTATGCTTATGAGATTGAGGAATTGTTTTTGAATAATTTATCTGATCATACCAAATCGATAGGATAAGATACTCCGAAATTATTTCAGTTTGAAGCTTTACTTCTATGTATATGAGTAAGGAGTGCTTGGAAGGGTGTAGTTAATCCCCCCTCCCCCTCTCTAATAACGCATATAAGATAGATCTATTGTTGAATAATTAAACAGAACATACAAACCGCTAAGATAATCAACTTCGAAATTATTTCAGTTGGAGTCTGACTTTCATTGCTACACCGGCAGTGTTGGCAGGAAAAGTGATTTTTGGCATTTATTTCGAAACATTACATAATTAGATGCATAATTCAAGAAAATAATGGTCCCTAGGAATAATGATGCATAAAAGTAGGTTTTCCGATTCTAATTTCCATACAAATTTCAAACGCAATGCGGAAAGCCGGGTTTCAACCAATCGTCTCCAAATTTTGCACAGTTTATTGGGACCCTAAATAGAATAAAAAAAAAACATTGTTCTGAAAAAATGATCATGATGACCCATCCTAATGATTAGTCAACAACAAATTAATTAAGAGCAAGAAAGTGATAATTCTCCATTTCCACCCGAAATAATTTGCATTCTAGAGCGTGAGTATTACGAAATTGTTGCTGTATTCAATAATAGTGTATTAATCAGATAAGTTCTATTACAAAACATTGCCAAACTTACCAAATTGATTGCTCAATGCTACTTCTCCTACAAGCCTTGTAATGTTATTCAATATCACTTGAACACACGTGTTCTGGGTAGTAATATGATATATCTAGATAGAGCTGGAATTAGGGCGTAACAGCCTTTGTAAACAATGACTTCTCTCGATCTAGATATGTTCTATGGTCAAATTCTGAATAACATATAAAAGGCTTGCAGTATGAACAAGGCATTATATTATATAAATCCATATTCAGCAAACATGAAATCCAAGGATAAATTAATTAAATTTAAAGTGATAGATTTTTAATATCAGTATGCTTGACATTTCGAGTTCAAAGCACAGCACATCAACAACGATGTGCAATACAATCTAAAATGAAGTGATTTGCTGTTGATTTCGATGCTTCGATATGATCTCTTCCAAGGGATTTGCACATCGATTTGCAATGTTTGGCAAGTAGTGCAAATTCAACAGCAAATCACTTTACATGAACATGATGTTTTTTTACCGTGTACGTTTCTACTTCATTTGCCATCGGGAGCAAATTCAAATGCTTCTCATTTAAAGAGCACATTGAGGAAAGTTAGTTTATCTAAGCGCACCACTCTTTCTCCGTTGCGTGCTGTTTGCCTCAATTTGAAAGTATTTTCATAAAGCTGTGCAATCGCTCTCCTCAAATTAGTAAGCTGTAAAGTTTGCTCTTTGCGCTCAATTTGTAAGGAAATAACAAGCCTGTTGGGTATTATTCCGATGGTATTTGGATCATGTCCAGTTGTGGCCAATTTGATCATTCTTTAGACCGCGAATGATCTTGTTTCTGCATTCTTATGTGATTTGATATACCGCATAATGAGTTTTGACTCATGTCAGAGTCTGACCACTTCCCTGGGGTATTTAAAATTCACATTATTATTCATGTTTCCGGAATCATATTTCCCATTATGTTGAATTTCAGTAGGGTTCTATGGGAATCAGAACCACACTAACTGGAACTCGTTTTACTCCAGTCTGTTAGGCAATCACCGAAAAAATCGAGAAAGTTACACACACAGACATACATAGCCAATATTCCAATGAGTCGTTTTCATATGAATATACACTGCCATCTGCCTCATCATTCACTGCCTCGTGATAGTCTGAATGATTGAGAGGTAAACGATGTCACTGACAGCCGAGCACTCAGTCAGTAGCTCAGTCAGCATGTTTATTCTTCCGTGATGATACCCAATACTTGTTTTGAATGACTGAGCGTACATTTTCTATGGAAAAACGTCTCAATTACAAGCTGTGTGAGCGAAGGCAAACGTTGTGAGTCGCCTGCTCGTGAGTGACTGAATGTTTTTGTTGCCTCTTTCATTGCCTCGTCCTTTACAATTTAGTACAAACGGTCTGCACAGAGCAATGGATTGAATAGTGCAGTACTTTCACATTGACTGCTGAATAATTTTACGTTCTGATCGGATCTCGTTGAGCTGGGTCGATTGTTTTATTGATTGGTATATGACGACCCTCCGAGCCTTAGATCGAAAATGTGTTTTCTACACCGTTTGAAAAATTCATGTCAATTTCTGCAGGATATTAACGTCATATTTGGCATAAATTTACACGATATTTCGTGTAAATTTAAGCGCACGTTGTTTATGCCAACTGTTGCTCAAAATCAAAATTATGAATTTGTTTCTGTGTATAGCCTTTCGGTGCACCTATTAGGTGTACGAAAAAGGCAGGAAACATTCCAACACCGAAACAAAATTATTTAAAAAATAAAAAGTTACTTTCCGCATTTCCGAAAAATAAACTATAGCAACTTATTTAGGGTAAATACGCCTGTTATGGACCCCTTCCTTTAATGAACCACTTATTAATTATTGCAGTTTCATAGAAAAAATGGCAAATTCCATTGGAAGAGACATTTTTCAACTCATTTACTTCGAGTTCAGCAGATATAGCCTAAACCGTGGGGAAATTGATCACTGTTAAAAGTAAATATCTAAATCAATGTCTACAAAAAAGCTCACACTCAAATTGCTCTAACTTTTGATCCGTTTGGTAAAATTAATTGAAATTTTGCGTAGACATAGTTTCATGTGTATTGTTTACACATTTCATCAGGTGCGCAAAAGTTTTCAAAATGGCGACGAAAGAACAGTGCGTGCGTGAAAATGTTTTTCACGAGTACTTTGAGAATAAGGATCTGTCGCATCGTGCCATCGTACAAGTTGAGAATCGCGAATTCCACGGTGCCTGGTATCATAAACGGTTCGAGAACCTCCGAACACAGAAGATGTCAAAGTTCACCAAGTAGTTCTTAATTTGGCGAGCGATTTGTGCTTGCGGAAAGCGAAGTACACCTTTCGTTACCGAAAGCACCATAAGTGGACAGGTGTATTTAAAAGAGTGTCTCCAAAAGCGGCTTCTCCTTCTCCTGAAGGCTCACGACGGTTCGACGATCTTCTGGCCGGATTTGGCATCATGCCACTACACAAAGGACGTGCTAGAATGGTATAAGGCGAATGATGTCGATACACCCTTAAAATTAAAATTAAAATTTATGCAGTGGAGTACATTATTATTATTATTTAACTTTATTAATGAGGCTTTCAGCCTTGGGCTGGTTCGCCTCCACAGTGGAGTACACTGTTTTGTTGAGATAAACTTATTAAAACAATCATTAGAGTCCCTAGCCGGAACATTATCACGGTTTCACAAAATATTTTTAACGGGACCGGGCTCAATTTTCTACTGGACTACGGTACTTTACTTTCCAAACAATAGTTATGAATACAGTTACTAAGAAATGCTACTAAAAGTAAAACACTTCGTGATGTTACAACGTGACCTAAAAAAAAACCCTTTTTTGACTTGAATTCAGTTTTAATAGAAATTTTCCAGTAAATAATAATGTTTTGAAATTACTCAGATCATTCAAAACATGTGTGTCAAGCTTTTGGTAAAATAAACCTCAATTTAAAGTATCACAGAAAATAGGGGTGGTCCTGCGTAGTGGTTAACATTCATACTTAACGAGTTCAAATTTCATCCCCGGAAAAGTCGTAATTGACCCAAGACCGACTATGATGTAAAAATCCAAAATAAGAATTGTAGAAAATAGGATAAGCCACTGTGACGAACTTCTTGGAATGGGTAATAAGCTTCAGTCCTAAAAGATTTACTTTCTTCGGGGATTCTGACATCTCATCAGTTGGCTGAATCGTACAGTTTAGTATGTTATTATAGAATAAAACACCAGATTCCTACATTTATATATTACACATTCGAACTACAACACTATTTGTGTCATGGAATGGGTGGAAAAACTGCCTGATAAAAACAGGCCCCTTCCTTCATGAAAGGTAAACATTCTATGGACTTATGGCTCACCGATACCGATAGACATGCTAGTTAGTCCTATAAGTGAATTAAAGTCCCATCCTGAGTTAAAAGCTTTTCACGAAGACTTAATTGAATTTCCGTCTATATTGCTTCTCATAAATGGTTGTCTATCTGGTCTTGTTGCCATGTTGAGACAAAACAGAGCATCACCGGCGCGCAACAACAGAACATCCAATCAGTTATGATATTGCTTGCAGCAGAGTTGTGATAAGCGGAACGAGTGTACTTTATATTAAATAACAGCGTTTTGATCGAACCGCGATGTCAATGCAAATTCCAAGGAATTATAACTGGAAAAAAGTTACTAATTACTTATTCCGCTTCTTTCCTCCCCAGGACACAAGAACGCACGTGGTGGTAGAGCTATTCAACACGGAAAAATCATACGTCGAATCTTTACAGACGATTGTACTGGTATGGTTTCGCTTGACTGGTTTCAAGTTCAAAACAATTAATCCCTCAAACTTTCCCTAGAAATACCTAAACCAGCTGAAGTCACCAGAAAATGCCGGTCTAGTTGACACTCAAACGGTCGACGAAATATTCTTCATGGTTCCAGCGATTCTCAATATCCATGAACGATTTCTGGAAGAATTACGAAGGCGTCTGGATGCATGGGATCCAATGCAGAAAATTGGAGATGCATTTGTTGACGTAGTGAGTAGTACCAACACGGTAACACATGTGGTTTTATTTTGGTTTTAATCATATTGCCAATTTCAGTTCTCGAGACCGGTCATCCTAGATACGTACACGTCATTTGTGAACAATTGGAATCGGGCCAAGGATGCCATACGCACGACACGACAAAAGTGCCCAGCATTTGCACGGTTTCTGGAGGCGATGGCACGTGAACACAAGGGCAAATTGTCACTAGACAATTTGCTCATAAAACCTGTACAAAAGTTTCCAAAGTATGTTGTATTAAATTTGTTTTAAGCTCCAACCATTAATCTACCTAATTTTCTTTCATTTCCAGTTATGAATTAATATTATCAAGACTGATTAAACACACCGATATTGATCATCCCGATCAGAAGCCATTACAAGAAGCTTTAAAGTTAGTGCACGATATCCTAATGTTTCTCAATTGCAAGGAAAAGGAAGCCCTGGAGAATGGTCAGCGTGAAACGGCTCTGCGCGAGCTGGAAGGTGTGATAGAGGGTATGAACGATCTGGTAACAGCAGATCGCGCTTTCTTGCTATTTGATCTCGTTTCAATGCCTTCGGGTCAAGCGACACGGAAGGAGCGGGGATTTTTCCTCTTCAATGATCTGTTAGTCATAACCAGTATTAAACGGCGCAGCGGCACTATTCGGAAAACCAATATGTAAGATTCTGTCGTTTCTTGGAATTATTCAACCATCTACAATTAACAATTGATTTTTCCTGCTAAATTCAAGAACATGTCCTGGTAGCGTTGCCTCAACCCTGGATACCAATAAGTATAAATTCCTTACCAAGATTTCATTGGATGACCTGGAGATTGTGAAGTGTGAGTACTTTTTGTTTTTTTTTTTGCGTAGGACAACATCGTCGACAAACTGAAATAAAATGGACAAAACTCCATTTTGTTTAGTAACTTTGGTCGCATACAAAATTAAATTGCTGAAAACGTTTGATGATGATGATTGTTCACTAACTCTTGATTGCTTGTAATACTTATGAATATTTTAGGGGGACAAAAAGGTGCCTAAGCCTAAGCTTTTCCACATTTATATCGCTGTGAAGCAACTGTAAACTCTATAGGAAATTTATATCTGTAACTGTTGCGATTTTGTTTGTAACCTGGTTAAAATGTCGTGTTTAATTATCTTAAAGATAAATCGTCCAGTTTAAACCTTTGTAGGGGTAAGAGGTGGAACCATCATCATCATTAAACAAAAAAAAACGTATTTTTTTTCCAAAACTGTGTCATCAACTTTGCCTAAATAAAAATATGGGTTGATAAAAAGAGACGAAAGGGATAAGATAGTCCCTGGTTTCTGCCTGAGAACATTCTTCTGGTATTCTGAAAATTAAGAAACAATTAACAAACATTTATCTGTAAACTCGTCATTGAATAGGTCATTAAAGTATTATCAAAATATCGTTAAATATCATTACTTCATTATTCAACCTAAAGAACGATAACGTACGCGAAAGGACAAATTTATCTTTAAGTGAAAGGAAAACAAAGATTACAATGGATTTAATTTTCCAAACTCTAATTGGTTGTAAACGCGCATACAAATGAAACGCCATCAACAGTATGCACGTCTACCTGCATATCACCAAATGAGCGATAATTGTACATCTGATATAATCATATCGACCCTATTCACAAATGCACGACACTTTCTGATAAGACATTAGATGTTTGATTTGCGTATGAAGTTCACTGTAGACATTTTTATTGCTCATTTCCCTCGTTCCATATAGTTCAAAATGTGTTTGATTTAACGTTGGAAGCGTCCCATCAGGCCTTTGATTTTGCTCTCGGCTGCGCCCCAGTCCAACAAACCACGCATCTCGTAGTCCTTCAGTTGCTTCACGATGGAACTGGCGTGAGCCTTAAGAACTGGTTTCACATCTACATTCTGTTCATTCTTATACAGAGTCGGTTGCATAACCGGAGTGTTTTGGGCGTGTTTGGTACGCAAGAACGGAGCAGTAGTCAATGATAGGATAACCTCTGTAATTAAAGGGTCAACATCAGCAAATAGTCTGTAACTGGTTCGTGGTGGTCGATCTTACCTAAGGCACCGTGTTTCAGCAGCTCTACCTGAAGCTCCATTAGTGATGGGATTGATTTTTTATAGTTAAGACGTTGCAACAAAACAGCCAGCGTTTCATAATAGGTGAATACCAATTCATCTTTCGATTGTTCCAGCACTTCATAGGCTGGTGAGGACGTTAGGAAGTACATCAAATCAATGATCGGGGATCCCACAACACAGTTTTGGAAGTCTACCTAAAATGTACATTACCAAATATTTGATGAGTTTACTCAATATTCTAGCATACCCTAAACAGAACTTACGAAAATGGCATCAACCAGCTCATTGTTGGCATATTTGTACATGATGTTGTTGGTCCAGAAATCTCCGTGGCTAAGCACCTTCAGCCCGTGGAAGTCGCTTTCATAGGAATCAATAGCCTTTTGTACTGCCTTCGCCGGTAAAGTCTTCAACTTTTCTCCAACATTGCTGTTTATTCCGAGATCCGAGGCATTTTCAGCAACAACCTTTAGGGTGTCGGCAAAATACTTCAATTTATCCTTATGATCAGCATGGAATGTTCCTTTCGTGAATTTGGTGTACTCTTTGGGATTCTACGGAATGAAGCATTATTATTACATTATATATATAGGATGATGAATATAAACTATGTATGATAATTGTCTTTCAAACTAATGTACTAATCGTATAGAGAGAACAGAACAACTCAAAATTTTAAGGATGCATTTTGACAAAATAATTTTACCGTCCAAGTGTTCATCATCATAAATAAAAACGAGGAAAAACATGCGTTGTTTCATCGAATATTTTGTGAACGGTAGACATTTTTAACAGAGATGGAGTAACTTATACGGCATGCACTAAACTAAGAACACGGAGTCACCCGTAATGCAAGTTTGACGACGACGGGCATGCGAGAGAAAAATAAGCATCGGGAATGTACTCCCGGCTGTATTGATTTGGTGAGTTCGTTCCAGTTGAAGATTGTTCTTATACATATCTCGATTGCATTTTCGAGGGGACGTCCGGAGAGCCTTGAGATTTAGGCGTTGTTGCTTTTGCGGGCAGACTTGTTGGTCGCCGGTAAGGTCCAGTAAGTGCTGCCAGCAGATGAATCAAGAGGTATTCGAAACAAAATTGGTAAGAAATGTCCATTCAAATTGTTTTATTACAGTTAAACAAATTTCAAAACTATATACGTGCCAGATTTGGAAATAATATTTTTTGAATCTGGAAGTGTGTTTATGATACCATTATCCATTTGATAATGGTAGAGTGAACATGCGGGGCTTATTGTAAGTAAAAGTGACCTCGGAGTGGTCGTGAATTACCAGGCATTCTGAAATGGGTCACTGGAGCTGCAATAGAGCTAACACCTTCTAACTCCCGGACTAAACCTGCTTTAATTGAAGGGTAATAAAAAGCAGTTTTCTTCCATAATAACACTGCCGGACAGTGGGGGTTAGATTGTACACACACACACAACTTTTTATAAAATTTGTAAATATTAAATTTATATCGCCATAATCTCTGTGCCATGAAGATTTCAGTTTCATCAACTTATTTGTTACTGTTACAAATGGTTTAATATTAATCTATTTAAAACAAAAAAACATGTTTTTATAATTACTGGAGTTTTGTTCAGAGTAATCATTGGATTCTTCCTAAACTCACAAAAAATACATTGGAATTCTCTTCGGAATTTCGTTGAAACTCCGCAAAGATTTTTTTTAGAATTTATTAGCTGAAACTCATATTGTAGAAACTGAAGCTTTTGACCAGTATAGTATTCCGGGATATATTGTTGCTGCTTGTTTATCACATTCTAGACACACTGGCGGTGTTGCTATTTATGTCAAAGAATCAATTCAATTCGACCTTCGAATCAACGAAGTTATCGATGGTAACTGGTTCTTGGGCATTACAGTTGTGCGTGGCATGAAGATGGGTAATTATGGTGTTTTGTATCATTCTCCCAGTTCTAGTGACCAGCGTTTTGTTGATGTTTTAGAGAACTGGCTAGAGACATTCCTTGATTCAAGTAAATTAAATATATTAGCTGGTGATTTTAATATTAATTGGCGTGACAACCATAATTCGAATCATTTGAAGCGTTTAGCTGATTTTTTCAATTTAAAACAAACGGTAGATGAGTATACGCGTATTTCCAGGCACAGTAGAACTTTAATTGACCACGTTTATTCCAATTTTGATTCCATTTGTTCAGTTCCGGATGCTGATTTGAAAATAACCGATCATGAGACCTTAGTGATTAATGTATTAGATAATATCAATAATAACGATGACTTAGTCAAATTGAAGTGCTGGAGGAAATATTCGAAACAGGCTGTTTCAAATCTTGTTGAGAGAAGCGTGGATTTTCCATTCGCGGCCGTTAATTTAGATGAATCTGCAGCTGTTCTAACTAACACTTTGAAAACGTGTACCAATCAATTAGTTGAGCAAAAGTTTGTTTCTTTGAAAAACTCGAACAGCTGGTACAATTTGGAACTTTTGCGTCTTAAACGTAAGAGGGACAAATGGTACAAAAAGTTTTGCAGATCAAATAATGATAATCATTGGAATAGGTACACAATCGCGCGTAATAAATATTCACAATCGATAAAACAAACTCGTTGTGAATATGTCCAGAGGAAGATTGATCAGCATCAAAACAACAGCAAAGAGTTATGGAAAATTTTGAAATCTTTATTAAAACCTAGTAATTGCAAACCGCGGTCCATAACTTTTAATGGCACATTAGAACAGTCAGAACCAGTAATTGCATCTATGTTTAATGATTATTTTGTCGAAAGTGTATCATTGATTAATCAATCCATTGAATTGGTCGATGAACCTGACGAAATAAAACAGCCAGTTAATAGTAGTTGTAGATTTGAAGGTTTTCACCAAATTACTTTAGATGAACTTAGAGTTATTTGCTTTTCATTAGGAAAATCGGCTGGAGTAGATAATGTTAATTCTAGAGTTATTCAAGATTGCTTTCATGTCATTGGCCACATCTTGCTGGACCTTATTAATGAATCTTTGCAGACTGGACATGTGCCACAGATTTGGAAGGAATCCTTAGTGGTTCCTATTCAAAAAGTTGCTGGAACGATTAAAGCCGAAGAGTTTCGTCCCATCAACATGTTGCACACATTAGAGAAAATTTTAGAACTTGTTGTTAAAGGCCAGCTGTTGGAGTATTTGAATAGCAACTCTTTGTTGATACCAGAACAATCAGGATATCGGGAAGGTCATTCCTGTGAAACTGCGTTGAATTTGGTGTTAGCAAAGTGGAAAGACAACTTGGAGCGTAAAGATACGACTGTTGCTGTTTTTTTGGATCTGAAACGCGCTTTTGAAACAATTTCTAGGCCCTTACTGTTAAGTACAATCAAGCGCTTTGGAATTACGAGTACTGCTTATAAATGGTTTGAAAGCTATTTATCTGACAGAACTCAACGGACTGTTTTTAATGATTCTGTTTCCAGTCCCGTGGGGAATAACCTTGGAGTGCCCCAGGGAAGTGTATTAGGGCCTCTTTTATTTATTATGTATATTAATGATTTGCGACGCGTTTTACGATTTTGCGACATTAATCTTTTTGCAGATGATACTGTGTTATTCATTGCAGCTAAGGATTTAGAAGTTGCCGTCTCACATTTGAATGAAGATTTGCGTTCTCTTAGTAGATGGTTGAAGTGTAAGCAGTTGAAATTAAATACAAGTAAAACTAAATTCATGGTAATTTCGCGGAACCGAGTAAATGATAATGTCTCCGTGGTAATTGATGATGAGGCTATTGATCGCGTTCGGGAGATTAAATATCTTGGCGTGATTATTGATGACAAACTTAAGTTCAACTCTCACATTGACAATGTCATCAAGAAAATTGCCAAGAAGTATGGAATTCTATGTCGACTGAAAAACGATTTAACTATTGCCAGTAAAATACAGCTATACAAATCAATCATCTCTCCTCATCTAGACTTTTGCCCATCCATTTTATTTCTAGCCAATGAAACACAAATATCGAGATTACAGCGTTTGCAGAATAAAATAATGCGTTTGATTTTGCGATGTAATAGATTCACTTCCTCAACTTTGATGCTGGACGCTTTAAAATGGCTGTCAGTGAAGCAAAGAATAGTTTATTTGACTATGGTGTTCATTTTTAAAGTAGTAAATGGTTTGCTGCCTCGATATTTGTGTGATCGAATTGAAAGAGGAAGTGATTTTCATAGATATAATACTAGAAACGCGGATGAAATAAGAACACCACATTTCTTGACTTGCGCTTCACAGAATTCATTGTATTTTAAAGGAGTAAATGTTTTCAATTCGATGCCTAGACATATTAAACGTGCAACAACATTAGCAGAATTCAAGAGACATTGTATTTCACACGTTAAAACTGTCTTTTGAACAGTTATCCAGTGATTTTTATTTTTTTTTTTTATGAATGGACGAAGTATGTATCTTGACGAAGTTATTTATAACGGATTATTTTGTATGGATAGCTGTCATAACGACTTTTTAATAATTATTGTAGCACTGCAAAAACTATTTTGTTCGCCACGATGGTGATGATGGATTTTTTTTTTATATTTGAATTAAAGTAGTAGTTAAAAACAAAAAAAAAAGTAGTAGTCTACAAAGGTTTGAGCCTCGCGCGCGTATTACGGATATAGAGGACTGAATTTAACATTTGATAAAAAAATGCAACTTTGAAGCTTATTTGGAAGATACTTTGAGTTAGTATTAAGTTTTCTGGCTGAATGTCGGGGGTTCGTGAGCATTCCTGATATTGCTGAAAATTATAATAGCATCATTGCGGGGTTGCTAGTGTATAGGATGCTTTGTTGATTGTTCATTAACTCTTGATTGCTTGTAATACTTATGAATATTCTAGGTGGACAAAAAGGCGAACTAAGAGGTGGACGCCTAAGCTTTTTCACATTTATGTATATTGCTGTGAAGCAACTGTAAAGTCTAGAGGGAATTTATATCTGTAACTGTAACCAGCTCGTTTTTGTTTGCTAACCTGGTTAAAATGTTTATATTTAATTATCTTAAAGATAAATCGTCCAGCTCAAACCTTTGTAGGGGTAAGAGGTGGGACCATCATCATCAGAATCTTCCATAGAATTCCTCCTGACAATTTAATTCCTTTATGAAACTTTCTCAAAATTTCATTCAAAACCTCCTCAGAATGTTCCTTTTAAAATTATCCTCAGAACACCATTTAAATTCTGTTTATAGTTATCTTTGAATTCTCTTGGAATTATCCTTAAAATTTATTTTACCCTACCTAGAAATTTTCTTTGAAGTTATATTCACAACTCCCATGGAATCATTCAACTAATTACCAAGGAATTCCATTCATTACTTCCTTTCTTCTTCCTTGGAATTCATCACATAATTCTTTAGGGCTCTTATGCCAGAACTATCTTGAAATCCTTGTCAGAACTCGCATATGATGTATACCAGATTTGCGTTATTATTCTCCTCAGCAATTCTCTTGAATTCATGCTTTAATTTATTTTAAATTAACCTGAAAATTCTTTTCAGAATTTAAAACATTTTTTTCAATTGACGGACACCGAAAAATCTTCCAAGTTGCAGAGCATTTATACATTTTGAAGGACCAAAATAATGAAGATTTTTTGAATCTGGGATCTTGCAAATTTTCCTAAATTTCACATTTTGCATATTTTGCTCAATCCCATATTTAAACAAATCCAATTCTTTTTATTTTTTATAAATCTATGATTAGGAGATAAATGACAAATCTCGAAAACCAAAATCATTGCCTGATGATCTGTGCAAATATGTAAAAGACTCAGAACATTGGAAATTTTCTTGATTACATTTTTTATGAATTTCATTTGTATCAAGTTCAATATATTTAAACAATTTCTTAATTCAACATTTTTCTTTTTACAATTTGGAACGTCAAACAGCATTCTATCTAGAGACAATTAAAAATTCCATGACTCAGGTACTCAGCAGGCTTTGATTATGGGGCTTTGCAAACATAACGAGATCTCTTATGTTAGCTTAGAAAAGTGATGCAAATTGGGTGCCTTAGAGGTTTTGAGGTTGATGCATATTCGTAATCTGCATTAAAAATCGAACCGAAATCCAAAATTTTATCAATTTGGGAACACTGGAAATATTCTAAAGAAATGCGATTACATTGGTAAAAATCACCATCTAGCACCCTTCGGTGGGACTTTGTATGGGAGCGAGCTGACAATTTGTTAGTTTAGTGTCAAACAGTGAAGCTAATATTTTGCTTTAAATCTGGATTTGAAAATCAAGATGAAAGTCTGAAATAAATATCTTATTGCTAGTATTATCCCAATCAAACTTTAAAAAAAATCGCACCTTTGAAACACACTCCGTGTTTTCACTGAAAATTCACTAGGGTGCGGACTCGAATGCTCCTCCAGAGGAGAAATTCATCTACCTTAATAAAACGGCTCACTGAGTGAAATATACGCATACATAAGTGACGACTTCCTATTATCCAAGACTCAGCAGCATACATAACGTCACTTTTACTGAGATATGTTAGCCGTAAGCTCGGCTGTGTAAATTTCTGAAGAAATTTAGCAAACAAAACTATAAGTGTTATTTGGATAACGGAGAAGATTTAAAAGAATTTCCTATAAAAATCCATTGTCATGATTACCATCTTAGTATGAAAGGAACCACGAAAAGAAAAAAAAAAATCTAAATTCAGTACTAATATAAACGACCGATACAGGCAAAGTTGGACAGTAGGATTCAGGGATGGATCCACCTCAGAGCAGAAAAAGAGAAAAGTAAAATTCCATCTTCACTTAGTTTTCAATACCATGCACTCTTCTTGGCTCTCTTTAAAACTGAGGACGGCTTTTCGGATGGCCTCTTCAATGTGCAAAAAACTAAGGTCACCTTCCCCTTTGAGAAACTTTTTGGCATTATTCAATCCGTTGATGCGATGAGTCAAGGCATGCATGCTTCTTATTTGGTTTTTATCGCAGTGTTCCAGCAAGCGTCGTTGGATTAATTGGTTACTTGTTTGAATCCCGGTTGTAACTTTTTTGTATGTGCCTTTTGCTACTTTTCTACTTCGTTCGCCACCGGGAGCAAATACAAATGTTTCTAATTTGAATAGAACATTGAGGAAAGTAACTTTCATCTAAGCGCATCACTTTTTCTCCGTTTTGTTTTGTGTTTGCCTCATTGTGAATGTGTATTCATAAAGCTGTGCAATCATTTTTCTCAATGTGATAAGCTGTATAGTTTGATTTTTGCGCTCAATGTATAAGGAAATATCAAGCCTGGTTGGATTGTTGATCCCTATTACCATGTCTACGAACTTGCAACACGCCTGTGAAAACTCTTATTATCTATTAGATTTTAAAAACTCACCTCATCAATCAAAACCGCACTAGCTGCATGGAAGAAGGCAAGTTTCTCGATAGCCATTTTACTTTGCTCCAAGTTGAGCCCCAATTGCTGATTCTCGACGCTGTAACCACGCACCGTCAAGTCTTCCAATACCATCAAATTGGATGGAACGTCGGACGAGTAGATCAAACTGCATTGGAAATTGCATAATAAAATCATTTCATTTCGGTTGCTAATGCTTAGTACGTCGATAACGCAGCCGGAACCTTCCCCATCATTTTCCCCTTAATCTACGATTAACGGTTATATGACGTTATGGCTGTGGCACTTATCTGCCAAATAGATCTCTACTGTGATAGGCCATACTTCAAAAGATTAGATTTAGCTTAACCGTAATAAAACTTATCTAACCAAGTACCAAAAATGATCGTTTTGCGTAATTTTATGTCAGCTGATGCGGATACTTACTGCGGAGCAAGTTCTACAGCACCTCCAAGTTTGGAAATAACTTTCACCATCTTGGGCAGAACATCCTTGTAAACGAAAATTTCCTTATCGAACACATCGCTCTTCTTGAACTCTTCAACAAGCTTTCCTTCGACTGGTTTAATCTTTGCAACAAACGTTATTACATTCTCCGAACAATTTTCCTTGGATACATATCTGAAGTTGAAATATGAAGATTCATCAAACAATTTCCTACGTTTTGAAAGATATCACCTACTTCACTAGAATCCGGTTCATGGAAGATCTTGCGTACGGATCATTGATCTCAGCGGTTGCAGGCTCCACATCGTACGCCTTGATCTTGACTTCCGTTTCACCATACTGGGATTGAATCAGATTAGTCAGAAAGAGTGAATTGACAAACTTGGTTTCCTGTGTTTTCGGCATTTTGAATGAGAGAAAGAACTTTGTACTTGTCCACAGCAAAAAACACCACGTCCATCAATCACCTAATACAGACTGATTCGGTAACAATCTATCGAAACTTTGGAAGGTGCAATTCAGACAATAATCTGTCGTTAGAACGATAAATAATGCTGTATTGGTGTCTGTACTACAACCAGGCGTCGTTATCAAACGATGCAAGATAAAACAATTCGTTGGTTCCATTGCGAGGGTTATTTTGTGCTTCGAATGGTTATCAATTGTATGGCCGATTGAGCGTTGACTCACGAGATCGCGAAAGCGTCAGCTGTATGTTGCAATGAATTGTCTTGACGTTGATTGGTTATTTGAACATAATTACAATGACAATCAATTAAGAAACACGACCTGTGAAAAAGGGGCGTTTTGGCATTGATTGATCAAATTACATTCGCGAGAACTATGTTCAGAAGTTTCAGAAAAACTTATCCGGATCAATCCGTAATAACACGATTATGGATACAATAGGGTGCGTCTACTTTACAAACCCCTGGTCCCCACTGCCCTTTCGATTTGTGTTGAGGTCCCCAACATATGTGCCACTGCACTGATCTGAACGAGTTTGGTTGTGATCTGGATTTTCGGGAGAATTTCAAAGTTTGTATGTATGTATATTATTTGTATGTCAAACACTCACAAATTGCTCAATATGGCCCATTCCTTTTTTTAACGTTAAAAATAAATAAACTCAGATTTGGCAAACTGCTTAGGGCCACTTTGTAAAAGCCCGCAAATCGATTCGAATTATGTGCAAAACAATATTAACCATATGTAATACAGTCTCTCTTAGCTCAGTCGGTAAAGCAGGACCATACGGGAGGTAGCTGGGTTCGATTCCCAGTCTGGTCTAGCGGTTTTTTAGATTGAAACATTTCTTGACTTCCCTGAGCATAGAGTATGATTGTACTTGCCACATACATAAAAGGTACAGGTACATATACAGGTACAGGTACATGCCCTAATACATAAAAGGTACAGGATTAGAAAGCTCTCAATTAACAACTGTGGAAGTGCTCAAAGAACACGAAGTTTGTAGTCGGCGTAAAGTCCCAGTACTTAGGGACGTAATAAAGCCAAAGAAAAAAAAATCAGCATTTAAAGGGAAATTTCAAGCACATGCTTCACTGATCTCATATATGCCCGGTAGGTAAGCGTGGAGTACTAGAGAAAAAGTAAATTATAAACTTTTTGCAAAAAGAAAAAAAATCGAATCCAATGAACCATTCAGTCAAGGCTATTTTCCACACTGATTTGCAAAAGTGGAAATAATACGCTTTTGATGCATATTAAGTTAAAAAAAAATGACAACAACCTAAAGAAATCATTCATGAACTTTTTAGTACTCTTTTTTATCCAGTGGTTAAACAAGCTACAATTAAATAAAAAAACAGTTTTTTTTTTCATATATATTTTAACCGCTGTGCTTCCAATCCCCAGAGAGCCAAAAACTTTAAATTTGTAAGAGAAAATTCACTCTCACGAGCACAATCTCTCAACATGCCATGTATTTTGATGGCGCTAGATTTGTGATTTTCCTCTCACAGATTACAAAATAGAATACCTGACACTGCAAAACATGTCTGGTACCTCTATATATGCATTTGGATTAACAACCATAGTCCCTCCTTTTTTACATATTCTGCACAAAAGATGTTTTCTGCTCCACCCCAAGTATTTTTTGTTCAGAATATGTACAAAGGAGCTACTTCGGATGTATTTTTTGTGCAGAATATACAATATTTTGGTCTTTAATTCAGTAGTTAAAAAAAGTAATGTTGAGTAATCTACAAAGGTTTGAGCCTCGTGGGCGTATTTTGGATATAAAGGACTGAATTTAACATTTGATAAAAAATATAAATTTGAATACCTTTTATATCAATTTCACTTTCACTAATTCACTTTCACTATCACTTTAAACTATTACAGATACGTGTTTCGTTTACTACTTGCAAACTTCATCAGTGTCTAGTCATAGTCTAAGACTAGACACTGAAGAAGTATGCAAGTAGTCAACAAAATACGTATCTAGTCATTGTCTGCTGTTGAAGTTGCTCCAGTCGTTTTTGACGGGGTCGATCCTGCAATTCACAGTTGTTTGCTTCGTTTGGTGCGCTTTGTTGATTGCCTGCAGCTCGGTCAGTGCCTTTGTCGTCGCCTTAGGAAGCAAGAATTTTGGGAATGGTAGAAAAAAAGTGCACGCTTTGTTTTGCCTATCCAAATGGATGTGTGATGCCCACCAAGGGCGAAATTGCCGATTTCGTGTCATGGATGCAACGTACCGAATTGCAGAGAAGAAGGCGATCTTCATCAAATTCAAGTCTGATACAAACTAAAATTTTCTTAAACGTCATCCAATATATTTAAAGGAGTAAAGTTAAATATAACATTGCGCAGAATCAACACAAAACAGAATATAATGCTACCAGTAACACGCTTTTCTGATGCTTATAGTATTGCAAAAAGTTCAAACTAAAAATAAACCCCGATAATATGCATGAGGTATCGTTCAAATTAGCGGGAGTCCACGGTATTCAGAACCTGGTACAATTAATGTTTCATTATACTAATGGTAAGGCAGTGGAGATTCGCATGCCGCTTGCGGGGGCAACGTTCAATACAGAATGCTGAGGAAATACACGAAAGCAAACCAGGAGAAACTCCCTGTGAAGTTGGGCCTAGACATATACACAGCCCAAGTAACACACATCTTCTATAACAGTTTATATAACCTTGTATGACATGTTTTGATTGTCTAGAAGTTGATTCAACATAATTCCCATGGACTTGTGTTACTTAGGAGGTATGCGAGGTTTTTACATGGACGTGAAATGGTATCTCCTTCTCGCATAATTTCCGCAATTAGAAGGAAAATATATAGTTTACGCTGGAAATATGGATAAATGATTTCTATGTAAGGTGGAGGGGCACCGGATGAATTACTGCCTCAAGCGGAAGGCCCGCAATTAGCTCGAAAAGTAACCGGATGTGGAAAAAAAAGCAGGACGAACAGGATAAAAAAGCATGACCAGGGCAAAGAACAGAACGACGACAGCTCGTCGGAAAGGCGCGAAGCCAAAGCAGTACGTACACCACTTCGCTACCTGATTCATAACGCATATACGTTGTATCCGCGGGATCGTATACCTAATCTAATTTAACGTGGATACAACGTATATTTATTATGAGACAGGTAACACAGTAGTGTAGCGGCTGAAGATGTATCGTTGGACAGCAACAACCAGGAAACTAACTAATTAAATAACTCATTTAAACTCATTGTTAGTATTTACAGTGCTTCCAAGTAACAGAAATATTCCTTTTATCAAAATAGTGCTTTTATATAGTATTAATTCCTTGTACTTAAACCCATCTCAGTTTCCAGCATACTAACGGATACAAATGATCTCCATAGCTAATAAAGTGCGATTTTCATGCATTGAAATTAAATTTGATGCCAGTGTAACAATTTTCTGCTAGCTCAGTTATAATGTTCTTAAAAAGGGTCTAAAACTTTGCAACGTCGAAGAGATATACCGGGAATAAAATGTATAATAGTTCAAAAAATGTTTTCAGGTACATCAGTAAACCTACTTCCTCCATAAACTGAGTCATGGCAACTTGATGTCTTCAAGACTCTCTTTTCTACAACTTTCCTGAGAAATCCTACTCTGCATTTATTATTTATAAATAAAAAACTTAGTTTCTGAAGTACAGGTGCATCTTAAGAAAAACTTAAGATGCGTATTCCAAAAGATAAAATTTTGAATATCCTCTGCTGAGCAGTTAAACGCCAAAATGTAAATTCATTTAATTTTTAAATCACTGTGTAACTATGTGAACTTCATATTGCTCTGAAGTAAGCGGTGAACGGGCTCGGGTGCCACACGACATTTTCACTATTGGGAAAAAAATTAAGTGCGCTTAGTTGAACAAAAAAATTATAGTTCCTTTGGCTGAATTAGCATCACTCGAGAGATACTTGAGCCTCTGATTTGCCTTTTAACAAAAGTCAAAAGATCACAAGAGAAGGCATTAGATTATGACCAAACCCGGAAGTTGAATAAATTTAGTTGGAAATTAAACTAAAGGTAAGAATCTACTACGCCAACCATCTGTAGGACACTAATTGAAGTTTCTAACACCATAAATATTTTTGTCATGCTGATTAACACATAGATAATAAAAGCTATAATTGGTCATTCAAGGGTAGGTGTATGTCTCCTACTGTTGGAAGAATGAGTCACTGTAAGCAAATGTAATGTAATGTCTCTATTATGTTTGCGTCTTATGGATGTACGATTTTACACGACCACCATCATTCATCACTACAACATATTTGACACAGAAAAAGGTGGGTCAAAAGTTCGACCTTAATTGTGAAACATAAAATATTTCAAAACTCCTATCATTCGGAATCAAACTAATTCCGTGATCCCTAATTCAAGGTCTACAACTGTCTCTTAGCGGTGCCGGTGGTGTTGTGGTAAGCGTCTTACCCCAAAGGACGTGAACATCTCTATTGCGTCTAGCTCGTTTTGTGCTGGTAGTTGTCAGTTGTTTCAAATAACCGGAGATGCGGGTTTGAAAAGTGTATCCACAATTGTCTTGAAACAGGATGGGCAAACATGAGTTTCTAATTTTACTCGTCGTGCTTAGATAGCCTTGTTTTAACGTATTACCGGTTCTTAGACACTTCGATCATTTTTTTATGGCACCAACAGGTAATATTTTGAGGTTAAATGCGATTCTATTCTAAAAATGTACTATTTCTGCTGATACAAAAATTAGAAAAATAAAAATTTATTTGGGTATCGTTCTATGTAAGATTTGTTCAACGGGTTGCAAGAGTTAGCATAGGCAAAAATTAGAGCATTCCCAACATTTTATATAAGAATCAATGCAGCAACCAGTTTTGTGATCTGTGTAAATTCAGAATGTTTTTCAATAACAAATTAGCGTTTTTAATGTACCCTGAAGTCTGTTATTACGCGGTTTTTACACGGTTTTTCGACGATTTCTCGATAACGATACAACCTATCGACTTGATTCCAATCACATTATCCGTTTCAAGCTATAGGTAATTGAATGGCATACTTTAAAAAAAATCACGATTTTTGGTGTAGACACAGGAATTTTTATAATATGTCTATATGGACCATAGCATGCTATAATTACAACTGACATCAAAATCCGATTTTTTTAAAACATTTAAGCATGCGAAAAATCAAAATCTCGTAGTTTTTTTTACACGGTACATAGCCCCCGTGTAAAAAAAGACTTGAGTGTACAAAGTTCTGAGTTAATTTCTGTTATGAGTTACGTAAGATAGGATTTAAAGATAGTGGGAACCTTATAAAAGTGTTCTGAATGCAACCTAAATTTATACTTCCTGCAATAATAGCGTATGGATAGCGCATAAATGTATGCATAAATTTACATAACATCCAGCAAAAAGCATAAAAAATACGAGGTGGCGCATATTTCCCAGCAAACAATGAAAACGAAATATTTATATTTTTTTTGATAAAATCATGTTCTCGGTCATGAATGCATATTTTCGTATGAAGTTTACGGTAATATCAAGAAGTTTAGGGTGCCTTTACCCCATGTTCCCCTATTTCTAAAAATTCCTGATGAAAATGCCAATGTTTTCATACCATTCGAAATTTCATTTTGCATATTATTTAGAATTTCTGGCTGCCATATTGGAATTATCCACCATACTGGATTTTTTCATACGCATACCTCCGATTAATTTAAAAACTGTGCATGTCATTCGAAAGCTGATACTTATTCTGTGAAAAAAGCCTCAGCTTTCATTTGGTATGCTTATTTTTTAAATTGATCTAATCATGCCTTGATCGTTCCCTTTCGTATGCTATGCAAACATTAGGATTTTAATGAATGAATGAATTGTTAGAGATATATCAATTTAAATCATTAAAAACTTAAGAACCTGGAAAAACAAGTGGCCCAGTTTCAGCGAGAATTGCTCAATTTAAGTTTCCATTATGTATTTCCATTCACAGTTTAGTATAAAACTCTTGATGTTTTCAATTACATATAAATTATTTTTGATTACAGCTAAAGATGAAAATATTCGTCGCATAATGAAAGAGATCGAACATCTATCGGACGATTCCAACAAGCTGTCACAAATATTCGACCTGGCCGCCAGTCTAAGGTAGATCTTATGCAAAACTGTTATTAGAATGTTGAATTACTCCAAATGATTTACCTGTCACTTCAGATGCCCTCATCAATTGCTTGAGGAGGCAATTCGAGACCTACAGCGAGAGGTTCAACGCCAACTATCCGAAAGGCAAACAAACGATGCTCAATTAAACATACTGGAACTGATGCTGAACTCATCGTAAGTTTACCACCGGTCAAATGGTAGATATAAATCTAACACCATAAATTTCACCTAGGGGCGGTATTCAAAACATGACGGTAGTATTTTCCAAACCGGACAAAAGGGCTCAATGGGAAGAAGCATTTACGGAGGCGAAACAGAAGCTCGCCAGCGCCTTGGAACGTTGTCAGATTCCAGAATTTGTGGTATCCGTGCCAATTAGGAAAACTCGTGCTGGCCTTCAATTCACCTGTGCCTCCCCAACGCTTGGCATCCAACGGGATGTGTGGGTATGCAATAGCGATGGCTACGTTGGTCAAGTTTGTGTTTTAAGTCTGGTGCCAGAACCGACAGTCACTAGTTGTAACGGCGTTTGTAATGCCAGAATATTGTGCGTGGCTTCCGTTCCCGCTTCCGATGATAGGTGCGTCAGCTGAAAGCTTACTTTTCATTCAGATTATTTAAAAAATATTCATCGTTTCAGCCATTCTAGTCATGCGAATACAAGCATCAATATTTCCATTCAAGAACCTCCGACATCCATTGCAAGTACAATAAACTCGATAGTCAATTCCAAACCCCGGGAGAAAAGAAAGTCCAAAACAACAGACGATTCAACTGCTGATGGTAGGAACTCCAGTAACATACAGCTTGAATCAGATAGTTCCAGTGAGGATTCCGAAACTGAAAGTCAACCTGAGCGCACGGCTAGTCCTTCCAGTATGACAATGGCGTCCACTGTATCGACAGTACCACCGGTTGCGCAGAGGCAACAGGAGTCAAACTCTGAAGAAGCTGATTCCCAGCAGTCTACCATGTGGCTTGGCACTGAAGATGGTTGTATTCACGTCTACAATTGTACCGATAACATTCGAATCAAAAAGAACAAAATCAAGATTCCACACATAAGTGCTGTATATTCGATACTGTACTTGAGTAATAGAGTATTTGTTTCGTTAGCTAATGGTGATGTGTGCGTCTACACGAGGGATCACAGTAAGATGTCCTTGAACAAAGTAGAAAACTATGCAAGAAATGAGGTTATCTATTATTTTTTAGGTGGTTGGAATACTACAACACCTCTTACAATATCGGTTGGAACGGTTACGAGTCCCGTTACAAAGTTACTCAACGTGCATGGAAAACTGTGGTGTGCTATTCAAGGATGCATCAAGGTGTTGAATACGACAACGTTACAGGTAAGAACATACGGCTGGCTTTAGTGGAAGGGTAGTGATTTCCAATAGTTGATTACGATTATTTATGTATTCCGTAGGTGGACAGTCAAATTCAAATTTCTAACGATTCAAAACCAATTACAAACATGACAGTATTAAATGACTACGTGTGGATATCGGTGCAAAACTCAGCACATATCAAGTGCTGTCATCATGAAAGGTAATAGAAACAATAGCAATGTCAATTCCATTAATGTTCAAAGCACTTTCTTCATTTTTAGCTACGAAGTGATTTTTGAAGTAAATCTAGCTCCATCCGTGAACAAAATGCTATCCAACTGTGATGACATAATTCGGCAACATAAAGCAGCTTGTCTACGAGTGACTTCGTTACTGGCATGCAAAGACCTAGTTTGGGTAGGAACCAGCGCCGGTGTACTGCTTACAATTGCAGGATCAAACATTAGCAAAGGGTCATCTCCTCCGGTGGTAACAGGTAAGGAATCAAGTCTAACAAATCGACTCACTGAATATTAATAAATTGTATGTTTTTACAGGAATACCCCACGGACATACAGGTCATGTACGTTTCCTAACGTATGTGGAACACCCAGACAACGGCAGCTCAGATGATTTATCCAAAATAAGCGACAGTAAAGCAGAAATGGCAAAGACTAACACAGGTCGAACTTTGCTGGTGATATCGGGAGGAGATGGATATGAAGATTTCCGCAGCTCTGGCAATAATACGATGAGCGAAATTGCTGGACGGGAGGATAGCACAAATCATTTACTTCTTTGGCATGTCTAACCATAAAGGCTTTTGTTTCGTAACTATACGTTTATGCCACAAACAATTTTTTTTGCCGCACTTGAAGTACTAAGTACTGTCATTTTGCCTCTTTTGTCTACATAAAACTATATTTGGCAAGCTGGACTTGCTAATTGTATTATTTTGCTTAAAGATCGTTGCGCTCAACAACATTCGTTTGTGTAAAAACCTAATTTATTTTATATATTGTACGACAATAATAAACCCTAACGTGGGACAACAATTCCAAAGCAGAATTAGTTTTCGAAAAAGATGTTTGTATGGCTTTTTGGCATGCTTGCACAACATGTAAATGTGAATAAACATAGGAATTGTTACGTAGTTTGATACCGTAGAAGTTTTCAATGGCCTAAATCTGGATAAAATCTCCTTTGAATTGTCCAAAACAAGGTTTCACCTGTCATAAAAGCGGTTAGAGTTTACCCTGTGTACATTTTGTATTCGTTTGCACTACCGATTTGTCGAAAACTGTGAATATTTATGCAGTACTATTCAAACTGTTTTTTATGACTGTTGAAGTATTACATATACTCATCATATAAACGTTACTGTATTAAATGCACTTCACAATAAAAACAAATATTTCATAAAACTTTTGTACTTACCACCAACGCAACCAAACTCGCGTATTTGCTACAACTTCAAATACTTGCTATATTCTCGGCAAATTCATATTTTTTTTTCTATCTCACAGCTCGTTATTCGAATCCACACAGCAAACTGGAAACTTTTCCATATTTCATTTCTGAAACTTAATCATATTAACAAACGTGATTGAAACGGCGTTTTCGCAATATTAAAACATTTATAGAGAATATTCCAAGAAAACAAAGATAAAGGTTCAACTTATTGAATAGAAAAAAGATCATATATCAATGTTTAAATACCTGAGTAATAACACGTTATTGTGTGACAGAGAAACCTATATTTAGCTAATATTTATCGAATTGTACTTAGCAAGGTAACATTAGTTGAACGTTAATTTATTTACGAAAAACGAACACGCATACAGGAATTCGTATCGTTATACACGAAAAATTCAAGCTGTAACATGTATGGAACCATTAATAAACAAAGAATTGCTGTTATATAACAATCGGATGTGGGTATTTATTCTGTGCCCGAATATCACACCCCATGTAAATAAATTTGCCTTCTAAATTACCCGTGCTAAGTGTCCATATAGGTATTCACTTACCAACCATTCATTGCATGCTCTGACTACGACCGACGACGAGGACAAGCTACTTTTTTGGACGTACGGAATGACTGTACATTGACCTTGGTCAGTTTTCTCATAATGAAAGTATTGCCTCCCTCCGCCTTCAAGCGGCTACTTATTACAGTGCCCATGTGTTTGGACTTTTAATTTTGCTTCGCGTTTTTCACACCATCAACAAGCAAAAGGAAGAACGCAAAAACATACTCCCACTAATTTATCTTACTTTTACATGACATTGCATTGTATCGATGTTTACCGCGGGATAATAAATTTACACGTTCTCTTCTTGTTTTAGTATCGTCTTTCCAGGTGTTCGCCATGATGCTTCCGTTCGGTTGTAAATAAACTCTGTTTTTTAGCATATATACGATTGTATGATGAGAGTTAGATGTAGGATACCCGAGCAGGAGAAAATAACTTATGAATACCTAATCCTGTTCCTGATACTAAAATTTGGCGTTGATCAGACTTAAGGGAGAACAGCCCATAATGCACCCCTGGGGTAAAATGCCCACTTTTAGAAAAACAGCGATAACTTTTCCTCAGATGCATTTTCCGGATAACGGTTTGTGGTTGTTTTCAACTGGAGGTTTCACAAATAATTCTTGATCATAAAATCATGTATTGACCTACTGATTCCTTAAAAAAATTGCATTTTGTGCAAAACAGGACACAGTTGTTAAAATCATCAACTGTAAATTAAGCTTTTAACATCATATATCACAAAAAAAAAACAAATTTTCGTTTCGTATAATTTTTAGATATTTTACTTGATGAATCACAGTTTAACATTCTATTGAGATTTTGAGACCTTTTTTCTGATGTAACATAAAGAAATAATCATTTGAAATACCGCATCCCTTTGCATTATCTACTTGCAGGGGTTATGGTTTGTTTACCATGGGGTGCATTTTACCCCAATGTTGTGGTGCGTTTTGGCCATTATTGTCGTGCGTCTTGCCCCAATGTTGTGGTGCATATTGCATCATGAATCAGGCGTTTTGCCCCGCTATCATTTTGGAAGCAATTTAAAAAATACCTTGAAAGTCATGGAAAATCATCCTTTTGTATTTCTAAATCACTCGATCTTTGTAGAAAACATGGTAATGAACCAAACGCCATTACTTTCTTCTTGATTTTAGCTTCCATTCGCCAGCCATTGACGATTTTGCTTAAACGGTGCGTTTTGCACCATCCTACCCTACATGAGTGGTGAAATACCATAGAAATGCATGCAGAATATTTCGAAAATAACAAAAAAAAATTATATTTGGATACCACAAGAATACCTGTGCTTAATTTGGTACTGGAATGATATTGTGGGTTTTTTTTTGTATTTTACGTCTTTTGTCACGCTAATCTATACCAATCTATAATCTATCGAGATATTCGTTCTTGCTAGGGTTTTATTTTATCAAATCTGGCAAAGTATACGTCTCAACAAATTGACGGCATGTTCACCGTTATTTATGATTGATGCAGCTCATGGAATAAATTTTTAGATTCTAATGCGTTCAATCATGAGCACCGTTTTAATTCCAGAAGCAGACTCACCAACGTGATTGATTTGCCCTGGTACTACTAGAAAACATGTTGCTGAATAACAAGTTTTTCGGAATAATGAAATCAAAATCACATTACACAAAAACAGGTTCTTCATCTTCTTCGCCTTTCAAGCTGATTGCTTATTGCAACCCGAAAAATGCCTACACCGGACCGGGAATCGAACTTCCAGCATGGTCTTGCTTTGACGCTGCGCCTTTACCAATTGAGCTAAGGGAGGCCCCATTAGATTTATTAGATGATATGATCATATGTTTAATAATTAAAATACAACTTGCCAATTTTGCTTTCAAAGAGTCACCAACAGCGATTTTAGGATCGACTTGCGAAATTATGTGTAACTGATAGGTTTTATGTGACAATAAATACTTTACAACCTCTTCTCGTATTTTACAATTAAAAAATAAGATCATATCATGTAATAATTTCATAATTTATAAAAGCATTTTGATTTTATCATCTTTCAAACATCTCAGGGGTACATGCACTTACTTCGACTGAGCATTTCTAGCTCAAATCGTTAAAAAAAATGTCAATTTTGTCTCGACCCCTTCTGATTTGAATGAAACATTGCTCACGTGTTCGCTGCTACTAATAGTTGCATTTTTCATTTAAATATGATTTTTTCCTCCAGAGTAACTTTTGAAAAGGGCGTATAAAAAAATGGATTATTTTTTTTTCAAAAAATCATAACTTGAAAATTATTGATCTGATCAAAATGGCATATGAGAAAAATTTTTAGGTAGTTAAATTATCTTTGCGGAAAAAAATACACTGAAAGAAAAACTTAGTAAATTAGTATTTAAAAAACGTAAAACGATGATTATCTCAAAACACCCCCCCTTCGATCTTCATAATTTTTTTTTTCAAGAAAATTGATGGAATATCCTTGAATTTCGTGAAAAGTGTATGCTGGTAACTTCCTTAAAAAGAAATCTATAATTTTTTAAATTTTTGTTGATTTTTACAAGTTGATGAAAATGCATATTTTTTTGAAAAATAATAACTTATTTGGATTCTACGCATAATTTTCGATAACTTTGCATATAGAAACTTTTTTCCTAAGTCCAGCCGTTCTCAAGTTAATGCGAATTAAAAAAATATAATTATAACAATTTTCAACATTTTAGGCCATTTTCAAATGTTCGTCGAGATGTCTAGCAACGAGATTTTATTTCATGATTGTATATTAAAAAACAAACAATTCATTCTCAGATATGGTAGCTGTCAGACTTACCCGTTTCTATCTAGAGGCAGCGGAAGAGAAGCACGTTGATGTGGTCAAATGAAAGATTTGTTGAGATAAAAAACAGTATATAGGGGAAATGACGGCTTCGGCATGCCAGACTATTTTCGGCAACCCAAATTGAAACACTATTTTCACTGGATTTTCTTACGAAAACACTTCGCTGAATGCATGCAAACGATTCTTTATGCTCTCACTTACCACTTTACCACTGAGAAAAAGCAATCTAGCAAGGTTTTCTTGAAATGAAACACACGCACTACAAATTGTAGCTGATTTCGAGTTGCCGATAATAGAACAGCAGATTTACATGCAGTTCAAATGGAACGGTTGCCGAAGAAAAACTGGCTGCCGACAATACTCGCTCTCACTAGAGAAGATTGGAGCTTTGTAAAAGCGTTTCAAAACAGTTTTTGACAATTCTTTCGACTGAAATTGTTAGAGCAGCTGGCAGCAAAAGATTGTAAACAAACCAATACTGCATATGTGTGCGTTCCTTAGAGAAAAAGGCTATAGAAAGAAGGTCGCTGCTTAGGTTGCCGAGAATACGTAAATTCCCCTATTTATTATTTTATTTTACAACTCATATTATTTGAATACATTGAATAATTTGGGTGTATCGTTTGAATTAGAGAATATTTTTACTGCAATTTGGTTGTTTGAAACTGGAATATAGCAATGATATTTTCGAGTTCCAGGAATTGGTTTCACTTTCTTAAAAATTGGATCAAATTCCGTGTCAGCCTTTTTGTATTCTTCCGTAGAAACATAACAAAATGACATTTTTGTTTGAAGATCTTCTTTACGACTATTTGCCCAGTCGTACAGTTGTTTGGGGTCCGTTATAGGGTGCTCGTGTTGCTTAGCTAAACTTGCTCTGGTTGCCATTCTCTTAAGGGTACCGCCAATCGCATCACAAGGACCTTTGCCGTGTGAAGTTGCAAAAAAATGCCATTCAATTTCTACATCTACATCTACATCTGACATAAAAATACACTTTTGGACTGTTATTTGCAACTTTAAAAATTCTAATAATTTTGAGATAAACAACTGAACTGCTACTGTGTCATGCTTTGAAATTGATTTAGGTAGAGGTTTACAACACTTGAAATTGTTATCCATCGTAAAAAACTACTTGCTTTTTAACTTGAAACGCTAAGAGAGATGAACTGAATGGAACAGGTGAAGATCGTCCCAATATATATATATATATATATATATATATATATGTAGCAGAATAATTACAATGTTGACATTATACCTATCTTCATTAGGTACAATTGATTATAGCAAACTTTTTTAGGTGTGAGTGTAAGAAGCCTCCACGGGGTGCTTTTTTTTATGTAGTTGTGATATCGCGGGATGAGCTCTTAAGGCACAATATGGTATACGTCAGAGAAGTACCTAGATAATTTACCTCAATTACAGGTTTAATAACATATTTGTTTACCTGTTTATGTTTTGAGCCTCTGTTATGACATACACAATTCTATCCAGGTAAACAACTAATAGAGGACAGAAAAAAGGCACATGAGTGGGCTTGTTGATTATTTGGGTATATTTGAGAGTATTTACTTATATACTTGTTTCTTTTCCGCTGCGTCTAAATAGAAACGGGTAAGTCTGACAGCTACCATATATGAGAATGAATTGTCTGTTTTTTAATATATATTCATGGAAAAACATCTCGTTGCTGGACATCACGACTAACATTTGAAAATGGCCCAAAATGTAGAAAATTATCATAATTATTTTTTTAAATTGCATTAACTTGAGAACGGCTGGACTTAGGAAAAAAGTTTCTAGATACAAAGTTTTTGAAAATTATGCGTAGAATCCAAATAAATTACTATTTTACTAAAAAATATGCAATTTCACCAACTTGTAAAAACCAACAAAAATTTCAAAAATTATAAAAAAAATTTTAAGAAAGTTACCAGCATATACTCTTTACCAAATATTAGGGCATTTTTTCAGTTTTCTTGAAAAAAAAAATTATGAAGATCGAAAGGGGGGTGTTTTGAGATAATCACCGTTTTACGTTTTTTAAATACTAATTTACTAA